TCCTTGTTCACCAAGGTACCTGTGCCTGACACCATCGCAATCATTGAAGACTTGGTTCATCAAGGACTGAATGCTGGGGTACCCCCCCTGGTGAAACACTGCTTAACCAATACATACTTCACCTGGAATGGAACCTTCTACAAGCAAATTGAGGGCACCCCAATGGGCTCCCCCCTATCTCCGGTTGTAGCCAACATCTTCATGGAGAAATTTGAGACGGACGCTATCCAGACTGCCACTCTACGCCCGACCTTATGGAAGAGGTACGTAGACGACACTTTGTCATCTGGCCACATGGCCGGCCTGCTCTAGACCAATTTCTCGACCACATCAATTCCATACACCCAGCCATCAGATTCACCATGGAAGTCGAAAATGATGGCAAGCTACCCTTTTTGGATGTCCTAATCAAAAGGAGACCTGATGGTTCAATGAGCCACTCTGTCTACAGGAAAGCCACCCACACGGAGGCTTATCTAAAACCGGATTCCCACCACCATCATCCCAGAAGAATTCCCTCATCAAGACTCTATATCATAGAGCCCAATGCATCTCCGACCATGAACACATTTCCAGTGAACTCAAACACGTACGCCAAGCTCTTAAGGCAAATGGTTACTCGACTATACAATCCGCAAAGCCATCACTCCAACCATCAAGAAGGATCCTGTTGAGGAGCCTTTCAAGACCATCACCTTACCCTACATTGCTGGGGTCACAAAAAAGATCTCCAAAATCCTGATTAAACACAAGATCCAGGTCCGATTCAACACAGTACATAAATCCGTGATCTGGTACCGTCTGTAAAAGATGTGGTTCCAGACATACAGTACCCTGGCGTCTACAAACTAAGTTTCCTCTGTGGTAGCAGTTACATTGGGGAAAACCAACGACATGTCTCGGACCGCATCCGTGAACATAAAGCTGACCTGAAACACGGTAGGACAAACACCTCAGCCGTGGCAGATCACTGTTACAACTCAGTGGGCTCACATGATATCGACTTCTCCAAGACAGAGGTTCTCTGCAAGCCATCTGGCTATCATGAGAGATTCGTTCATGAGGCGATCCACATATACAAACACAGAGACAATTTTAACCGAGAAGATGGATTCTGGCTCAGCAATCATTGGAAGGACGTAATAAACCATTTCGATACACATTAGGGTGTGTAGAATAATACATAGTGTTATATTAAATGTATAAGATATAGGTTGGTTTACAGCAATACAGTATATAATTTAATGTTGGGTTTATCTATGGCAGTATATAGTACGGGTATATGCTCGTGTGATATAAGAGAATAAGGTTTAGATGGAAGCATATTATAGAATTTTTACGAGTAGAATTGTAATGTATTACTTGCTGTTAGTAACTCAGCTTATTATAGAGTATAGTAAGTATACTGATGGTGCGATGCAGTTTATACTTTAGTTTTTATGTAGTTTATACTTTAGTTTTCTACGTGGTTGTTGAGTAACTGCAGCTACATATCATTAACATTCCTTTCCTTTGTTACTGCTAATCCCTGCACCCCCCTTGGTTGCTGCTGATCCTGCATAATGCATGGGCATAATATGACTTTGACACCCCCCCGCCCAACGCCTACGCATTTTCCATGAATATGCTAAATTCCTCTTCACATGCACATTCTTTTTGTTAAGGCGCTCTTCAACCCCCAATGCAGCTTATATATAAGCTCCTAGTTTGGTAGTGTCTCATTCTTCACCTGAAGACGGCTGCTTGCGTTGTAGCCGAAACGTCGTGAGAATTGTTTTATTATGTTTTATTTTTATTATTTTATTACTTCCCTTCTACGTGACTTTACCGAAAGAAACAAGAAGATGGATCCCTGCAGTCACGAAAGCTTTAAATCGAAATTTAAGCTATCTATATATAAATAAATACCTTAATCTGTATGTCTCAAAAACCTCAAGGGTACTTCCTGACAAAGTATAGAGCTGAGATTTGGTACATAGGTAGCATTTAGAACACAAACAACAAGAACAATCTGAAAATCCGAGATGTTTAATTTTAAGGCCCACAAATCTCGATTTTAAGTGCCCCATAAACATGTTCGAGCGTGACATTCAGAAACCGTTCTAAATATAAGATTGTGTTTTTTTCATTCGATAGAGCGTTAATCAGCGAATAAAAGTCAAGCGAGAAACATTCTTCTATATTTTATTGTTGTCATATTTCAAATTTTTTAAGTGGTTTTGAATGAAAAAATCCCCATTTTATGATGTTCAAATCTGAATAATTTGAAAAGGGTAAAAGATAATCCCCTCAGAGTATTAAGTTAATACATTTTTGTTCTAATAAAAAAAAGAATTAAATCTTCCAATTGCCTGGTCTCCGATCGGTATGTCTTTAAATATAAGAAATTGAATCAAGTCGTCAACAATTTTTTTCTTGGAAAAATACAAATTTTTGGAGTAGTTGTTAGTCTCTGATTGTAGATACAAATTTTAAAAAATCACATGAGATTAATTATTTATGAACTAGTTCTAAATAATGATGTGATTATTCGGCGTTTGTGAAAATCCAGCACCACCTTCCCTTCGAAGCCGCCGGATAATCGATGATCTACTACATTCTAAATTAAGGAAATGTGCACATGCCACCAACATTGCCACATAATTCTCGACAACACATCCAATTTTCACAGCAATGAGCACGTATTAATACAAAGACAGAGCACAACTCCAATGTAAAGCAATGAGTATGAATCACCATAGTACCTAACCATGTTTTTTTTATCAAAATGTGTTGTAAGCTCATAGATTCTGCCAATACAAAAAAAAGAATAACGCTGACATCAAACACGCACCAGAAGCGTGACGAGTCAAAATCTCTTTGATATCATGCACGTGCATTTCATCACGACGTGGTAAAATGTGTTGGGGCTACATGCGATACAAGATGTTTGCTCAAAGATGTCAAAACAAATTAACATCTGCTCATGGCGGGAAGCTGCCCTGGTTCAACGGCCAGCACATTTTACTTTCCATCAAGAGGAAATGCTGCGCAGGGATGATTGACCTAAAACTAAAGTACTTGTATTTTAACCAGGTAAGACACACTGAGCTCTACAGCTCTTTTTCAGAAGCGACCTGGCCATAAATGATAGCCCAACAAAGTGGCTCATCACGTGGAAATTTATAACGGCAACATTCTCCAAATGCACATTTTGTAAATGTGGAGGGGAAAAAATTAACCCGTAAAAACAAAGTTTTTCACTATAAATCCTTTATATGCGTCCTCTGGCTTGAGATGGCTGCCACCTATGGGTCAGATGATTGCCTGCCACCATTAAGCAATTGGTAATTAAATATTTAAAAAAATCCTAAAAAGCGTAACATTTTGGAAAATAAATTTCACGAAACTAAATTGTCACGCACAACGAGTCTGTGTGCAAAATGTCAGCTCGATTGGATCACGGGAAGTGGGTTAAAAAACGACACGGTCATAAGCGTGCAAGCAAGCAAGCAAGTGAACTTAACATAAAGGATTTAAAAATCGGAGGACCTGGAAAAAAGTTAACGCGACCACGGGAGGGGGAGGGAGAGAGAGAGACGCGCACACTCCAAATATACAGGTGTCGTCAGAGTCGGGATCAAACCCACGGCCTCCTGTAGACCAGGCGAGGTAGTAAACACTTCCTAGCCACCGCGGCGTGCCGGACAACGCTTCCCCCCCCACCCCTCACCTTGGCGAGAACGGGTTTGCAATTGCGCTCGCCCAGGCTGCTGTTTTCCAGGTCGATGCCCTCGTCCACGGCGTCTGCGTAGCTGAAATCCGTGAGCAGCTGGTCGCTGTGGCAACTGCCCTCGTTCTCCGCTCCGCTGTCCGCACAGCTGTCTGCCTGACCGCACTTCTGCGCAAAAACGCGGGGCCACACACACGCGGCGTGAGATTACCTGCACGTGCGACCACTGAACACACGCGCAGCGTGTGTGCATGTGGAATCAGAATTTTAAAAATTGTATTTAGGCTGGAGGAATCCGACAAGCTGTAAAAAGCTCTTTTACGCAGACGTCCGGCAGGGGCAGGTCAGAACGTGACAACAACAAACAACACAAACACACGGTAAGAGTGCAAAGTAGAGGAAAGGTAAACAAATCACTTAAAAATATACAAATTAAATGTAATTATTTTTATCTTACCAGGTAAGGCCCAGAGGTTTTAACTTATTTTTTTAGAAGCGACCTAACCACGAGTGATAGCTCAACAAAGTGGCTTCTCATGTAAACGACATGTAGAACAACGCATAAGAAAATCAAGAATGTATCAAACGTAACATTTTATTAATTCGTCTTCTTTCAAGCGTTTGTCCACTGGGGTAGGGTCCCGCTTTCGGCGTTCTTTTTACTTTCCACTACTTCGATCCATCGCCTTCTCTCCAGGGTGACAACGGCACGCACTCTCTCTCTCATCGTGTCCTGAGCATTACCTCCTCATCGGGGGCCTCGATGAACGCGTTGAGGTCCAGGTGATCGGGAAAGGTCATGCGGTCGTTGAGCTTGATGCGGTGTAGCGTGGAGTAGTCAAAATCAAACCGCTTCAGCTGCAAGGACAGCAGGTACGGGAAGTAGAGGAACTCCAGGCCCTGCGGAAGCAGAGAACGGGAATCGCTCTCAGTAACACGCAACGGTAGTCGTTACTAACGCATGCTGGCACAGAGGAGGGCAGGTGGCGGCCTGTGTTAGTGTGACGCGAGCGCTGTGTCGTCAATCTGATTTGATTTACTTGTATCGTCTATATTCACGAATCAATCAAATATTTTCATCCTGGCGGCGCAAACGTGGTTGTTTGTTGAGCTGCAAACAAATAGCAGGGCCCTCAAGAGGGGATCGACAATCTGGACATTAAATGGATGATGGCTGATGACATCATTCTGGTAAGCACAAGAACACAAAAGGCCTTTAACCACATCTAAACCTCTTACCACAGCCTACCCTGCGTAAAGTAACCCATTATTTGAGTAAGAAAAATAATCTACATTATTTTGCGAGAAAATATGCTTGAAAACGAAACAGGAATAGGATTTGAGAACAAAATAGCAAAGTTGTGCAAACTTGTCGGGCTCACTTTACAGTGATAATACCACAGGAAAATCGAACATAAGGCAGAGGGGACACCGGAGTTCGTCTCACAATAATAACACACAGCCAGCCCTGTGGTGTTGTGATGAGAGTGCTTGAATAATAAAAGCAGGGTAGTGCAAGTTCAAAACCCGGGCGGGGGTGAACTTGACTCGCCACCCCTTTCCGAGACGATAAAATGACAGCTGCTTTAGTAGGAAGTCAACAGTGGTTATCTTGTTGATAAAAGCTGGCCCGCACCAGGGTAATGTGGAATTCTACGATTGGCTCAGCAAGGTCAATGGAGATGAGCATCGCCCCCCATTGCTCGCTCTGACGTTCCATAATTCCAAGACAGATTACGTGGGAATAAGAAGTGTGCAGCCACTGAATTTGACGCTCGGCATAATGCAACGTCTCTATCAAGTATTCGGATTAGCACGGCAATAAGATTTCCACAACATAGAGACCCCTGTTCGAGTGTATCACGTGCTCTGTACACCTTACAATAAACAATGTGCAAAGTGGCTGCCTCGGTAAACTTATGCAATGAACGGCTGGTTCATTAGAATTAAATACAGGGCGTTTTACTGTCAATCATAGGAAGGACCTTCACATTTTGGCCAAATGGCCCTTTCTCTTGCAGAACAAGGCCAGTTCTACACAAAATGAGGGTAAATAACGGAAAAATATCACGGGAAGAATATATTACAATGCAAGGAGGGAGAACGGCATGTAAGTGATTTGTCTTGAGTGGTGTATGATGAAGAAACGGATAAAAACTGGGGCTTATATTGTCTAGGGAAGACTCAAGAGATTTCCCAAGACAGCTTACCTGAACAAGAGGATCATCTTGGGATCATCCAAGGCAACCCTACTTAGAAGTCTATATGTGTGCTGAAACGGAAGAATCTTTCTTTCCTCTTGGTGACCGAAATAATAAATACGATTATTTTATTTCAAAATCAACTTTTTATTCATTCAACCAGGCCGTAAGCTCACCTTGTGGGCATCGCATTTCTTGCTGCAGCGCTCACAGAAGTACTGGTTGGTGCCATCCAGTGTCTCCGGCTGCACGAATGCCTGCAACGCCTCCTCCTGCCAGACAAAGAGCACGACCACAATGGTGTCACTGCACAGCCCTTTACAGCAACAGGCCTGCTGCTTGCCACAAAAACCACCACATATCACTGAACAACCCTCGGCAGAAAACTCAAATTATGAACTAAAAACTATTTGTATTTTAAACAAGTGAGGCCCACTGAGCTATGTAGCTCTTTTCACACGCAACCTGGCCACAAGTGATTGCTCAACGAAGTGGCTTATCAATGTGGAAATTTATAGCAGCCAAATACTGCAAACGCACGTTTATAAAGCAACAGGCCTGCTCAACACAAACCACCATACTGCTGCACAGCCCTTTACAGCAACAGGCCTATACTCGTTGGTTCTTTCGGGAAAGTCACGTAGGTATCTACCTACCTACGTGACTTTACCGAAATAACCAAAGAGGATAGATTCCTGCAGTCACGAAAGCTTCAAATCAAGAAAAGCAATTAGAAGGTTACGAGTTTAAATCACAGTTGGGCGGTCAACATCTCCAAGGTTAACAAAACAAGTCCCCAGTGGGGGGTGCTTGTAATCTCCACCGCTGGCTCTGAGCCACCACCGAGGATGAGCGTCGCCCCAAGTGCTCGTTTAAGCAGGGACACACTTTGGGGCAAATTCTACTGTCGACAAAACTGCCGCATTTCATTATTCGCGAGGGATACGTTTTGAAGATGGTCGTGAATAGAAATATTGCCCTAAGCTATTAAATACAAAATAATTCTAATCACAATTTTTATTTATTGGTCATAATAAACATAAAGTACATTTTAATAAATATTGAAGTAATAAATTATAGTTTGTAAATAGACTTACCTTAAATTATGATTATGCTATGCATCATTTTATATGATCACTTTATTGCGTCACATTCTCTCTCATCACTATCTCACCACTTTCATTCTCTCTCTCTCTCAATGCAGCCATGTAGAGTTCCAGATGCAATTCGAGGATAGCCAAAATCTGGGATAGCAAGTTCGTGAATAACCGACACGCTTATTGGTAAACGACGTTTGCGGCAACAACGGAAGCTCACCACGCTAGAGTACGCCTGGTTGGAGCCAAACGGCCGGATGGCGAGAGGGATGTCGAGGTAGGTGTCCAGACGGGAGCTCTCGTGGCCGCACTCCAAGCAGCGTACGTAGTCCTTCAGCTGGCCTTGGTACAGCACGTTGATCAGATTCGCCTGGTCGAGTGGGAGGCGAAGAGCGCACATGATCAACACCGCAGACTGGCACGTCTTCTTCTCCCTTCGTATGGCTAATGTAGACGCAAAGCAAAGACTACAATTTCACACACAGGTGGTCAAGCCATATAACCGCGCCAGGAGCAGGGGAGGGAATCGCTGTGATGCCTCCTTCGTATTTGTAAATGTGGCATTGTGTCGTGATATGCTGTACGGTCTGTTCTGGATGACCACAGTCGCACATTGGAGAGTTTTCAACTGTACGGGAATGTAATGGAGTAAAAGATGGCAGCCTTCGCATGGCAAATATCATCAACGCGGCGACCAAACATCGATCATTCATCTCCCAGCCTCCAGAGCAACAATACACCGGCACGTAAATAAAATCGATTGTACGTAAATGTAATATATCTCTTATCTGGGAAAGTGTCATAGAGTCTTGTGGCTGTTTTTCAGGAATATATAACATTGATAGACTTGGCCAATACCTTGTAAATGTATGTTTTTTTCAGGGGGTGAGAGGAAACACAATAGGGGGTAGAGCTGGTGCATCTGCAGGTCATCTCAGTCAGTCAACCCATGGCACCCGGGTCTGTCCCATAATCTCCTGTCAGCGAGCCTTCGACACTTCACGTGGTCTCAAAGTGCACCTGGCCTGGCACAGGTGCTGTGGTGGCACCACCGTCACTTTGTGGTGAATGGCGGCTATTGGTATTGGAGAGGAAACCGGAGTGCGCTAAGAAAACCCACAGGGGGCCGTGAACCCCCTTGATTTACTGCCATCTCCTGGTCATCGAGCTGCCTCCAAAGCACTACATGACACACGCGGGCTGTCACGTTACATTCATGTATTGATGCTGAGAGCAGGAAGAAAATCCATGACCATGCATTCAAAAGCATGCATACATGCATCCAAGCAAAAACCCACGTGTGAGCAAACTGCTGAGAATTGGCACCATTGTGTGATATATGGCACAATGCAGCAATTAACAGCGGTACGAGCGCTCTACGCCTAAGGTAAATGAGGAATTTAAACTGTTCACTGCAAAGTGAAGGCACCCGCTTAATTGTAGGTACCCCAATTCCAGCGTGTAGGCAAGAGTTAGAATTGGCCGGTATTTCAAATGAAAAAGACGGTTCTTGACTCTGATCGTGGGCCACAACATTGATATATTTTAAAGCTCGTTATACAAAGCTAACAAACACAAGGGGTGATGTGTTGCATCTGGGAGGAGCGGTGTCATACCTGCTCCGTGTTCTTCCACTTCTGCTCCAAGGCATCGAACATGACTCGACACAACTCCTGGACATCGTGCTGCTGCCAAGCTGAAAACAAAAGCAGCATGAAAAGCCTCGCAGAGCCGTTCGTTCATCTGAACCTTATTGGGGTTAACCCTGAAAGTCAAGGTGTCATCACAGCCATCGATGGCACGACACCTCACCAATGCTTCATTCCGGCTGCTGGCATGCTCAGTTGTTTCATAGTTGGCACCGAAATTCCAAGGTTTGATCTTCCAATATCCCACTAATCTAGCTTAAGGTCTTCGCTCTGGTCACTGACCTCTGGTTGACACAGCAATGCCTATGTTGGTAACGTGTCCTCTTCCATCCTGTACACGTGCCCCCCCCCCCCAACCCATTCATTGCAACTTTCTGATTATATCATGTACGTATGGTTAACTTCTTTCATACCGTACGTAGTCAACCGTGCTAATCGGAGGTGCGGGGGGAAGGACAACAAACTAAACACAAAAAGCAGTTTGAAAGAAAACATCAAACACAGATGTGCTTAATGCGTGTCACATTGCTCTCCGTGTTTATTGCAGAAAAGTGCTGCTGTATGGGGGGTGTTACGTAACGTCGTGTATCTCAAATGTGGCAATTTTAGTTTTTTTATGTTGTTGTTTAATCGATGCCAAATACGAGAAATACGAGGAATACGAGACGGCAAAAGGCGTGGCCCCGCCACCAAGATGAACTGCTACCCTGTCTCTCTGCAAGCAGCTCTGGCATAAAACCGGCAAAAAAATTATAGTATTATTGTATCAGATAATATTTACTGGGTAATATATATATTTTTGACAAGATCCTAATTGGTGTGCATCCTGCCCACCTCTCTTCTTTCATCACTGCTCTACCTTCTCATCGCACCCTCCCTCAACTCCGGTGACGAGAAACACTCACGTCAAAACTCTGCTTGACAACAGCCGACTATCCCAATCCTCCCCCCTCATTCCCTCCCTCATTCCCTCCCTTCTCATTCCCTCCCTCCCTTCTCATTCCCTCCCTCCCTTCTCATTCCCTCCCTCCCTTCTCATTCCCTCCCTCCCTTCTCATTCCCTCCCTCCCTTCTCATTCCCTCCCTCCCTTCTCATTCCCTCCCTCCCTTCTCATTCCCTCCCTCCCTTCTCATTCCCTCCCTCCCTTCTCATTCCCTCCCTCCCTTCTCATTCCCTCCCTCCCTTCTCATTCCCTCCCTCCCTTCTCATTCCCTCCCTCCCTTCTCATTCCCTCCCTCCCTTCTCATTCCCTCCCTCCCTTCTCATTCCCTCCCTCCCTTCTCATTCCCTCCCTCCCTTCTCATTCCCTCCCTCCCTTCTCATTCCCTCCCTCCCTTCTCATTCCCTCCCTCCCTTCTCATTCCCTCCCTCCCCTCATTCCCTCCCTCCCCTCATTCCCTCCCTCCCCTCATTCCCTCCCTCCCCTCATTCCCTCCCTCCCCTCATTCCCTCCCTCCCCTCATTCCCTCCCTCCCCTCATTCCCTCCCTCCCCTCATTCCCTCCCTCCCTCATTCCCTCCCTCCCCTCATTCCCTCCCTCCCTCATCCCTCCCTCCCTCATTCCCTCCCTCCCTCATTCCCTCCCTCCCCTCATTCCCTCCCTCCCCTCATTCCCTCCCTCCCCTCATTCCCTCCCTCCCCTCATTCCCTCCCTCCCCTCATTCCCTCCCTCCCCTCATTCCCTCCCTCCCCTCATTCCCTCCCTCCCCTCATTCCCTCCCTCCCCTCATTCCCCTCCCTCCCCTCATTCCCTCCCTCCCCTCATTCCCCCCCTCCCCTCATTCCCTCCCCTCATTCCCTCCCTCCCTCATTCCCTCCCTCCCTCCCTCATTCCCTCCCTCCCTTATTCCCTCCCTCCCCTCATTCCCTCCCTCCCCTCATTCCCTCCCTCCCCTCATTCCCTCCCTCCCTCCCTCATTCCCTCCCTCCCCTCATTCCCTCCCTCCCCTCATTCCCTCCCTCCCCTCATTCCCTCCCTCCCTCCCCTCATTCCCTCCCTCCCTCCCTCATTCCCTCCCTTCCTCATTCTCCCCCTCCCTCATCCCCCCCCCCTCCCTCATTCCCTCCCTTCCTCATCCCATCCCTCCCCTCATTCCCTCCCTCCCTCCCTCATTCCCTCCCTCCCTCATTCATTCCCTCCCTCCCCTCATTTGCTCCCTCCCTCCCTCATTCCCTCCCTCATTCCGTTCCCTCCCTCCCTCCTCCTCACCTTCACTGCTGTCCCAGCCGAAGCTGCGCGTGAGATCGGTGGTCTCGACGGCGCGCTTGCGGCTCGTCTGCAGCTGCACAAAGAGCCTCTGCAGCTGGAAGGGGATGGACTTGTCCCCCTCCTCTTCTGAGCCGTCAAACTCCCACCTTGTGGCACAAAAGAACGCGGCGGCACAACGGGAGTTGGGCGCGAGTTCAAAACGATCAACGTCCCTGGCACCGACGAGGGAACCGTCGCCAGGGGCGTGTGGAGGGGGAAATGCCTGCCGCGATGCTTTTAAGGTGACCCAAAAATATTAAATGACCCCCTAATGGCATTTTTTTCTTTCAATTATTAACCGTTCCCAGTTGGAACAACAACAAAAATAATGAAGTTAAATTAAGATGTAAAAATAAATTTAACACTGAAAAAAATCACGAAAACTCTTACTGTTATCATATTATCAATAAAAAATATAACCAATTTGCTGCCACACAAACCCCTCTTATTCGCAATGGCCTGTTCCCAATATCACGGCTGAATACGAAGAATTACGCCTGCCTGCTACGTGTTCGTGCTATCCAGTCAATTACAACACAAGAAACAAACAAATTGACAGCAGAACACACCAGTGCGCGACGCTCGTTACGCAAGTAAGCGTGGGATCAACCTCACGCCAAAGTATTCATAAACCCGAATGCAAAACTCTCCGAGGTCATTGCACTCAGTAAAATTGTGACGGCATCTGCCAAGTGGCGCGTGATTAGACACACATGTTACAGCAAGAAGTTACAGAACTCCCATTGGCTCGCATTGTCACATCCATTCATGTCATGTGCGGGCAAAGCGGGAGTCTCGCCCTTCACGCACCAATGTCAAACTTTTCCGTAAATAAGTTCTCGAAGACATCCCGAACAGATCTCGCACAGTGCTGATGATAGCTCGTCAAATTGACGCACAATTAATGGATTGGATAATGTGGGGGAATTCATTTTTCCAGCAGTGGAAGAGTAAATGATGATAACATTTAATTTATTACATGCATTTAGTCATGGGACGATTGCTACTTTTTTTTATCCATTTTGCCGAATTAATTTGCGGAGCGTCTGTAATTTAAACTCTTGGGAGCTCGAACCACCCGGCACCATTTTCCAGCATCGGTAGCTCAAGGCTCAAAGTGCCTGCAATCGCATCGGCCAAGCCACCATCGTTGCAAGAGAAACCACGTGGACGAGCAAAGGTTGGCCACTTACTTGTAGAGGGCATTGCGGAACTCGGGGGTCATGTACAGGGTCTGCAGGAGGCTGTTCAGATAGCAGGTCATGGCCTGATTAACCAGGCCCACATAGCCTGGAAAAGGCAAATACAACGATCAGGCCAATCGTCAACATTCAAAAGAAAATATTCCTCACTGAATACCCTTTCCGACGTGAACCTATAGGTGATCCCCGTTGGGAGACGTTCTAAAAATGCCACAGAGACCACCTATCCATAGTAAGTGGTGTTGTTTGGTATCATCGTCAATGGTACATTAATTTAACACATAGGCTTTCGCGACCAATATTATCCATAAGAGGTTTTTGTAGTTAGATCGCGTGAATATAAATGCATCATTAAACCCCTCACCACCCGACAGCCAATTAGTAAGGTTTGTTACGTAAAGAAAACATGCAAATTCGTTACTAGTTCAGCACACTGGTGTGTTGGAAAGTAATCCCACAACATTTACAATTCAGAGTAGGACGTTTCGCCAATAATTACAACTAGCATTATCAACTCTGGCTGCCTACGTGACTTTACCTAAAGAACCAAGAATATGAATCCCTGCAGTCACGAAAGCTTTAAATAAAAATGTAAGAGCAGGTTTATTGCTTTGGACGTTTCTGTGTTTGTGGCAAACCGGTAAACGGTGTTCACCGTGTATTTTCCAGGCGGTTACCAGCAATGCACAAAAACATAAATAGACTTTAACAGCCCCAACAACAACACGCCGAAAGTACACAGCTGCGTTGCAGCAGAGGGCATCCATACGGCACCGCAGGGTGACCTGCAGCTGCCAGGGCGTGGAGATATGCATCGCACTGAGCTATTGCCAACTGTGCTGGGTGGCAAGCTCTGATAGGGCGTGGTGGGGTTGGCAGGCAGCTGCATTTAACAGGGTATAGTAAAGGGTGTAGTAAACAGTATGAAGCAGAGCGGTGGCGTAGTGATAAGCACATTCGTGCTATTAACTAGGTGACATTGACTTTGATGCCCAGCCGTGATTAACACCAGTGGCGAGTGATATCTAAACTAAAACTAAACTTTTTTTTTTACCTTGTAAGGCCCACTCAAATATATAGCGCTTTTTCTCAGAAGCGACCTGCTCACAAATAACAGCTCAACGAAGTATCTTATCACGTGGAAATGTATCGCAGCCAAATACTCTAAAACGCATGTTTCAAATTTGAAGGGAAAAACCGGAGGGCCTGGAGGAAAATCAACATTATCACGGGGAGAACGTGCACACTCCAAATATACAGCAGCAGGCGTCAGTCAGGGTTGGGATCGAACCCACGACCTCCTGCACACAAGGCGAGGTAGTTAGCATCTTGCCGCGGTGGCTTTCCCTTTGTCTCTCTGATCTCTGGGTCCCATTGCGTTGCCCATGCCTGTAACCTCCAACTTTTACTCCTCCATCCTGGCACAGCCAAAAGCATTATCAACAATAGTTTATATATATAGTATTTAGCAAGGTCAAGTGTGTCATTATAGCAATAAAGTGACATCACTGTGAAGTAACTTGCATACTTTGTAATATACAATCTGGGATTTTAAAGTATTTTATTTCTCACGAACGAATAGTTAAACGAATGTCGGAGAGCCTGGTGGGACACAGCCCTAGGTGTGTATAATATCTACGTGATAATTCAGTTTAAAATGTAGCATTTAACTTTAAATAGCTTAACCTGACACACTCGTACATTCGACTTTGTTTAAAGATCGCTTCCCAAACATGGGCAGCATAGGGTGGCAGAATAGAGACTTGAGGGGTGGATGGAATCAAATAATTTAATTCTTGAGTGGCCCATCCGAAGTCGACTGGACATCTGTGAAAAAGAGCTTTATAGCTTCATCAGATTCCGCCATTATAAATCAAGATGCTGATTCTGAAGTCGCCCTTGCAAAGAGGCAATGCATTGCTTGTCTCAGTGGGCCTGTGCATCGTCATCTCTCTCCTGGTTAAACAATGGAGTCTGCTATGGGAACACGAATGATTGGAACTCGGCTTGTTTCTTGCTTTAGTCAGGCTCCAGCTCAAGTCCAGTCCGAATACTAAACTATTTATTTTACCAGGTAAGGCCCAAATCAGAAACATAGCGCTTTTTCTCAGACGCAACCTGGTCACAAATAATAGCTCAACGAAGTATCTTATCACGTGGAAATTTATCGCGGCGAAATACTCCAAAAGCATGTTTCTAAATGTGCTGGGAAAAACTGGAAGATCCGGAGAAAAATCCACGTGACCACAGGGAGAGAAAACATGCAAACTCCAAATATACAGGCATCAGGGTCAGCTCCAGCATACCAGGGACGAGGGATTTAACATCACAGCAGTGGATTGAACAAAACGCTGAAAAGCGCACAGTAAATTACATGGTGCACCATGGTTACCGGTCTCAGACTTGCAGAGGACTCCATAAGCAGGGCCGGCGGGATCGTTGGCGCAGGTTGCGACGCTCTCGCTGGGAGGAGAGCCCGTCACCTTCTCGTGGCCGTTCTCGTCCACGCCGCCGCCTCCACCGCCGGGCCCCTTCGTACCCCCAGAGTCATCCTGAGAACGGTGCCACAAACTCGAATCCTCCAATTAACCGCATAAGTACGTATGTAGAACTTCTTTCGCAGTGCGGCGAGGAGTCAATCCTATCGATACCATTGTCGTCGCCCTGCCTCCATAAATCCAACTCGCCGTCCCCGTCAGGCGAGATTGGCAACGGCATGGGGGGGGGGCATCTAAAAGTGGTGGCTAAGAGACTCTTAATCTGTGGGTCTTTCGGTAAAGCCACGTAGATAGAAAAAATAATCAAGAGATAATAACAATATCACGATGTTTCGATCGCAACACAAGTTTAGTGACATATGACGTCACTACTATGTCGGGACTGTACGAGCGTAATCCAAATGCTGCATCTGCCAACCTTAATTTCACTTGGGTACACAGCAAGCACGAACATTTAGGTCACCGACTACCCATCAGCCTTCGGGAATCTTTGACGAATCTTTTCCAGCAGCACTCGTTTAAAACGGTTTTGTCTGAAAGTCTCATTTGGCTGAGTGTGGTCTGGAAAAAAACATACAAGCCATGCTACGGTGATGTGACTCGGGATGTCGAAACCGGTCCAGCGTTTGCACTGCGGAAACAAAAAGTGCTAGAACACCATGTTTTAGAAGGTCCCGTTGGTTGATGGGACGAACACGAAATTTAATTTAATTCCAAAGATGTTGGGTTTGGACTCACTGAACAGCGCTGTTCACGGAATGGATTCAGAACCAGGAAGGCGAACTCACAGGTGGAGGTTGCGGAGCCGGAAGAGGTTGTATCCCATTCTTGTCGGTCAGGTGCAGATAATTCTTCTTTCCTTCGGCAAAGCCAGCATCCTTCAGGGACTCCTCCGACTCTCCATTCAATGGTTCCTGTTCGCACCAAACATCGGCACAGGAATCACGTTTGTTAAAAAACAACACGACTCCTTTAATCGTTTGAAACATGTAGTCACTCACCACACCACCACTCATTCATGCATGCCGATAACTCAATATTTAGACCATATACTCAGATATAATGTATGCAAGGCCAAATCAAGATTATTTATTTGCTCAAACGAACAAAAGAGTGGTGCTCATCCCAACTCCTGACCTTCGGTGTGGGAATTTCCACACCACAGATTAAAACTCACAACTTAAAGGCTTTGGGGTTGGCACTCCGGCAAAATGCCTAATCAGATATCTGGTATTTGCCCAAACAGTGAAATTCAAAGGTGATCCATACACTGCAGCACCCCCCCTCTATAATCTGATGGATTGTGAGGATTCAAAGTAACGATTATATTCAGGAAACAGCATTTTTTTGTCCGCATTTTTACCGTTTCGTGTGTAATTCTTTTGGTTATTGCGTCTAATTTTTCCAGCCGAATTCGCTTTGTTAGCCAATACATAACATTTCCATGATAGATGCATCAATTGCAAACGTTTCGATGCATGTAACATGAGCGTAAAGTGGGAATTTAACGGATTACCTTTCCATGACCGCTAGAGGTGTTAACAATTCACCACAATCACTCCTCGCTCACCATTGTGAGTCAACAAATTGTCGTGATTGAGAGGTGCGATTTGATATGAGATTCAATATGTTTTTCCATCTCGTGTTTACTACCCCATGAGTATTGTTTCTTATTATTCCATCTCATTCGTAGCTTCGTCACTCCCTTAGGCTAAATGTAACATTGGCAAATAATCCCCCGAAATCAAAAACAATGATTCTTTGACATGCGACTCCACGCTTTTAAGGATCAATATTCATCAATGAATGAATGTATGTGTGTATGTATGCATGCATGCACTGTTACACCCACTATTCAGTGCACTCCTAATTGTAAAACCGCATGACAGTGTTGTCAAGCGTTTTCAATGGAGTGAGTGGCAGCGAAGAGAAGGGGACGCGTCCGAGAGGACGTCCGCTACGGAGCAGGGGCGATGTACAGGCGCTCAGTGGACAGTCACTACACGGTGGCAAGTTTCTAACTACCTCGCCTGGTATGAAGGAGGTGGTGGGTTCAATCCCGACCCTGACGCCTGTATATTTGGAGTTGGCATGTTCGACCCATGGTCGCGTGGATGTTTCTCCGGGTCCTCCGGTTTTTAGATCCACATTTGTTGTCCTTCCCCGCACCTCCGATTAGCATGACTATGAATGGTGCGAAGTTCAACATGTATACATACAAACGTGCGTTTAGAGTATTTGGCAGCTGCTATAACTTTCCACATAAGCCACTCCGTTGAGCTATAACTTGTAACCAGGTCACTTTTGTGACCTGGCCTTACGTGGTAAAATAAAAAGTGTAGTTTAGTACATGGGTGGAGTTGTAGCCGAGTGGATAGGGAGCGGTGCCGCAAACCTGGCAAGTTCACTTCAGTGGCAATTATCTGAACCAATACCTGGACCTGCCCACAAGGTTGAATCAGCCTTCAATGAGTACCTGGTGCATTGTGTATTAAACATAAGCGACGGGAGTGGTGCTGGCCACACTACCCCCCCCATGGCCCACTACCCCCCAGTGCACCGTACCGGCCTTCATACGCACTCGTTAACGGCACTTGGCCCAACCGTCTGTATGGCTCAACGGGGGAGATTCTGTCTTCGTTACGTCGCAAGGATGAAAATCCAGCGATGGTTGGCAGGGGGGGGGAGGGAGGGGGGGTGGTGGGAAGCCCCGAACCCCAGCAGCAGAACGATCGCGGTCCGACGACGACGACAACGAGCGTCGGCAGACTGACCTTTGCATGCTCGTCGTGCTTCCACACGAGCAGGAAGGTGTGGGCCTGGTAGGACGCCTCCGCGGCCACGTGCGCCTGCAGCTCGCGCAGCGGCGTGGAGAAGGGCAGGTTCACGGTGATGCGCTGCGTGTCGCCGCGGGTCGTGTCCGTCACAATGCACAGCACGCGCGCCTCTTCCGCCGCATTCGCCTTCTGCACGGCAACGCACGGCGTCACACATGACAACGCGCGGCGGAGCGTCAAACAAGGCGCGCGGGGGGGGGGGGGGGCACGGTCACGCGGACCAGCGCCGCAGGTGCCAACTACATGGATAGCCCCCACCTGAACCCCATTGTTCGTAGTACAACGGTCAGTGGGAAACCACACTCAACAATGTGGTGCTCTCTGCCGTGTTAAAAAGCGCTCAACATGTGGTGCTGTTCAAACATCGGAAAATGTTTGAGTAAAGTTCACATCTTCGCCAGTGGTCAAGCCGCTGCTGGATGAAGGCCTCCCGCAAGCCGCCAACCATCTCTCATGCAAGTTGACAATTAAATTTGGACGGACAAATCCAACTTTTAGATGTGTAGACGTGAGTAATAATTTGTCTCTTAATATTAATTATTACGGTCACGGCACTTGCAGCGAATCGTGCACGTAATAAGCTATGATTTACGCAAATGTTGTATTTACCCTGAAGGAACAAACGACAGTGAATAATGGTGACAGACCAACGGAGAGGACAAAAGATTCTTCAATTGAATCATGATCCACACCTTCCCCGCCCCAACAGTGATAAGTCATCAGCTTGTGAGAAAGGTGACAGATTGTTAAAACACAATTACACGATGGTGCAGCAAATTAAACCTTCGGCAGCGGATGCAAAAACGAAGCTTCAGGCATTGGCAATCGGTGCAGCAAGGCCTCTGAAAAAACCAGGAGGAATATGATGATCATGTACGAGCTGTTAACATGTCTGCGTTCAATCTCCGTTAAGCATATTTGCATACGCGCAGGCAAACAAGCCACGTTAAAGCTGCTCACTGTTAAAAGTCAATGCGTAAGTAGCACTTGCGATAACACAATTAATGCATTCAACATTAAATTGAATGCTTTCGCAACAATACAAGAAAAACACTTATAAAAGTAAAGATTACCAATGTTACCAACTAGACTAACTAAACAGTGTACACAGCACAATAAATGTATGTGTATTCATTCAGGGCGTGTCGATGACCACTGTATTGATAACCACATCTGCAAAGCAAATGAAATGTGTATTAATTACAATATAAAAATGATGTTGTACTGTTATTATTATTATGCTTGTTTACCCTGGCAAGCCTCACCGAGTCCAGGAGAGTCCTGCCAAGCATTTGCTACTCTGTGTGTCATCCCAATTGAGTAATGTTCAGATCATTTGTCAGCAGTGGGATGTTTGGCCAATGCCAGTTACATTGTGCGATGATTTGTTTTGTATCTATGGGAGGAAACCAGAGAATTTCAAAGAAACCCGCGCAGAACACGGGGAGATAAAGAACACAAACTCCACACTGAAAAGGTGCCCAAGTCGAAAATCGAACCGAGGCCCTTTCCTGCGAGGAACAAGTGTTCGCACTGCGCCACCCTGCGCCCCGTATACACACACGTTTCAAACTTGCGACATTGGATTTCAAGCACAATGTGTCCTGCGTGCTATCTAGCACAGTGGCTGTCAGAAGTAGGGCTTCTAAGAAGCTGCTGTTCACATACGCTGCATTACACTTTCCGTACACCAAGGCTTAAAAGTATCCAATTGAAATTATTAAAGTGGCCAATATGTAATGGTGAGACACAATGCGTGAAATGTGATAAACAAATACACTGGACATGGTTCAATCAGCTGATTAAGATGTGATCTATACCAAATCAAATCATGTTGGGGGATCTAATTCAAGGTCAGTCCAATCGCCCCATCTGAACCTATTACATGATGAATATTGTAAATGACTGCGATTCATAAAGGGACCCTTCGTGCAACCTTCAAACAAATGTATCCAAAAGAAAGGGACACTGCCAATCTAATCAACGTAAAGCTTCCCTTACCCACCATGATGTGAGGGGATGGGGCCATGGGTAAGACATTTTAGAGAGATGAGTCATCACCCTTAATAAAGTTTCTTACATGTATATTTTGTGATTGTTTGTTTCAGTTTCATTTTTAATGTTGCGCATACTTGTATTGTAGACTAATTTGTAGACTTTAGTGTATGTGTGTGTGTATATACTGTATCGTAGACTGCAGTGTATTGACTAACTTATTTGACAGATTTCAAATTGTCTCTCGTCAACAAAGCATCCTCTGACAGGAACCCATTCCGAAGGGAGTTCCTCAGGACTCTGTGCCTGGCCCTCTTCTGTTTTCTCTGTACGTTAACAACCTCGGCATCTCCAATCTGCACTCGGACACTAACCTTTTTTGCTGATGACGCAGGCAGCCCTGATAGCCCTCTGGAAATTCCAGGACTCGGACAATATTCAACTTCAACCCAATCCCCTAAAACTGGTCCTTGACGCTAAAAATACCAAAGTGATGTTATCCTGCGGCTGTTCTCCAAAAAACCTGTCTCCCCACCAACGTATATTGTGGCTTTAGACTCGCACCTTATTGAGCAGATCGAGAACTTTAAACATCTAGGCGTTATCTTGTACTCAAAACCGTGTTTTCAAGATGCACGTTGATGACATGGCCAATAAGATACTAAAAAAACAAACTGGATTCCTGTACAGAAACAGACGCTGTATTCCACCTCGACTCTTTATGAACACAGTTAAAGAAACCATTCCTTGCCCACATTTGATTGTTGCGACACCCTCTACCGCTCCCGAATCCACCTTAAAAGTTTCATTCCATTCTACAACTCCCCTCTCCGTTTTGCCCTTGACGCCTCTTGTACAAGTCTTCATCACAACCTGCACATTAACTCAATTCTGTCCCCCTTGGATATCTGGAGAGACCATCACTGGGCTGTCTTCATCCTAAAGGGTCCTCTTAAGCCAATTTGCCAATTACTTAAAAGACCATTTCGTTCATTCTAACTCCCTCCTGTAGCCTCAGAAGTGCCTCTTTAGTCCGACTAAACATTCAATTTGCTAAAACTTTGCTTGGTAAAAAGTTCCTGCGTTGCTGCTCCACGTTTCTGGAATACCCTTGCCGCTCATCTCGAGCTTGGTTCCAGCTCTTCACCCCCCCCCCTCCTCTTCATATCCCCTCACTTGTCCTGATGCCTCTTGCTTTCATTATATAATTGCACTGCATTTTGTTGTACTTTTGTGTTTCGTTTACAATGGTCAAATACCTCGTTTGTTAGGTGTGCATTATTCCTCAGGGAGCCTGTTCTTGTTCTCTGCCATATTTAATGTTTTTGTCTTTTGTTTTTCTTGTCACTGTGCACACACAACACAGATCTACCTTGTAATATAGCCAGACGACTGGCTGAACAGGATCATCCGGGTAACAATTTACTCAACCCTAAACTACCTTGCACGCTGCACTCTAGCGTCCGTCTGCAGTGTGTCACACACTCGTTCCCCAAGGTGAGATAACCACAAAAAACGCTTGGCACATACGCATTGTTTCTTTGCAGTGCTCTTGCCAATATTATCTCAGAATTCAGCGGCATTTGGTCGACTACTGATGAGACCCATAAGGTCGAAACTGGTCCAATCTGCTTTCTTGAACAGTTGCTGCTTGATAAGCTTTGTCTGAAAAGCCAACAGGCTGCAGGATTAAAAGTTTATAATTGCGTGCAGAGAAACAGAAACGAGCTCCGCTTATATTCGCTTTAATCAAAAATCACCTTGCATTGTGAAAGTTTAGTAAACCAAGATGCAACCCAACCAAAAAAAATAGTGCCAAATTGTAGGTGGGGTACGAAAGCTGTGTATCATTGGCTACAAGTCATGAAAAATAAAGCGATTTGACATTTTCAGCGAGTGACTTTTCGGCAAAGTCAGCACAGTGGTGAGGTCACCCCCCCCCCCCCCCAACTTGGAGGCCCCTCTCTACTTGGAAAGAGGGCTTCTCCGTGCTGGACACGCAGCTCAACAATGTTCGTCTCTGGAGCTCAGCACAAAGAGGGAGGGGGGGTTAAAACATGTGATGGTGGCACTTCACCCTGCAGCAAGAATTTAAAGGCAGAATGTCAGACTTCTAATTTACACAAGCAGGCTCATAGTGCCACATTGCAGTGAATCGCTATTGTTTTGAGAATGTAATAAACAGGACCCATTTGTGTTTTTTTAAAGTTTATCCGTCCACTGAGAATGTAGTTTGCATAAAGATTGCCAAAGAACTTTGACTTCATCCAAAACGTTTGACACTCCCTGATGTGGACATACCTCTGTATTACAAATGTATTGCTTGCACAGTAATGGCACGAGGTTAGTAAAAAAAAAGCATTTCAACATGCAATCGGCTGCACCCGTCCAACCAGGCACACGTCAACACTAATACCCAGCAGCACACACACACACGGGGGGCAAAGCAGCCACCCCCAGCAGGCTTGGCTACACCCGGGGCTGGCAACCTGCGGCTCCGAAGCCGCATGCGGTGGCTGCTGTATACCTGGCCATGTTTGTGTTCATGTACCAGCAGCTCCACGTGTGATTCGGCTCTCTAACGATTTTGGTCAAACACAAAAAGACAAAAAGACAAAAAGACAGAAAGACAGAAAACTAAAAAAAATGGCCCTTCTTCTTTGATACGTTGCCAACCCCTGGTCTACACAATCCCAATTTAGCACTGCACAAAGAAAAGCAGCATGCAATGCACTGGGAGTCACACGCAGTGCGCACTTCCGCCTTGTGAGACAGCTTCCTCTTCAGCTCTTCCAGCAAGATCTGCTTGCAGCCCCAGCTGGCAGCCTGAGCAAACGAGACCAGACGGTGAACTCCGAATCCCCGCGTTTCCACGTCTCGTCATAAGCGGACCAAAGCTGGGCCGGAGCCTGACTCAAGTGATAATCAAGCCGAGTTCCGACGAATCCACAGTGGCGAGATGTTAACTACCTCGCCTGGTATAGAGGTCGTGGGTTCGATCCCGACCGTGAAAATGTAGTTTGCGTATCTCTCTCTCTCCCCCATGGTCGCGTGGATTTTTTCTTCCGGTCCTCTGGTTTGCTCCTCCACTTGCGTTTCGAGTATTTGGCTGCTATATATGTCTAAGCTCGGAT